GCTTGACCTCAAAAAGAATAAAGCTTCTCTCTGAGGTCTGGCCTCCCATACGGTCGATTTCACTACTATGTATGCTAGTCTTTCTCATCAACGGACTCTTGACAATGTTGCTAAGGCTGTTGATGAAGCACATGCCTATGCTCTTGCACAGGCACAGCAACATACACGGACACGCTCATCCTGTTTTGCTCTTCGTATGATGGTTTGTGGACCGCGTGCAGGGGAATGGATTACGGATACGGGATCCGACACTCTTTCTGTGTCTGACATTCTTCAACATCTTCGGTTTATTGTTACCAATACATATCTATATACAGCGGATGGCCTTGTTCATAATCAAGACGTGGGTATTCCCATGGGTACAAACGCTGGTCCTGAGATTGCTAACCTCACACTCTATTGGGATGAGGCGCAGTACGTGGGCAACCTGCAGCGTGTGGATCCCTCTGCAGCTCTTGCCGATATGTTTTCACTTATCGGTTCATTGATGATGTTCTTACCTTTGGTTGTCTGCCACCATCGCCAACCTATTATGGTCTTGAATGGAAGGAGACCACTGCGGCTGATGGCTCGTGCACCTTTTTAGGTGTCAAACTGCAGACACGGGCTGACGTCCGTCTCATCAGCCTGCAGGTGTGTTCACCGGCCAGCTTATGTGGTTTGAGCAGATTTGTGACAATTGGCATGATTTCAGAACTGCGGCAACCATGCTTGTCTGTCATTTGCTTTCCTGTGGCCATGCTCCTTCGACATTGGCCCGTGGATGGACTTGTTACATTCGTGCGCGCCAACGTCGACAACCTATACATGTAACTCATCTTACACATGGTTTCGACGTATGCTTCGCTGGTCCGTGCATCATCCTCTTCCACCTTCTCCTCCTCTTTCCTTCGCTTCTCCTTCTCCCTCTCCCCCTCCTGTTATGTACCCGATTGAACTTCAATCCACAACGAATTCACACATTCCCATACACGCATGCAATTGCAGAGTAGACTCGAAGGAGGCAAAATCCACACCAAACCGGAGAGAAGATATGCACAGTGGAAGCTCAAAATACACAGAGAATTGAGAAACGAATTTCAATCCTTTAATCCCCCGTCCTCCAATCAATCCAAAGTATTTGTTCCAAGAATCACGACCGGGTTTACAACAACCCCGAACAACCCAAAAACAAGTGTTCAACTAAGTCTACAGGAGTCTTCTTCTTCCTCCTCGCCACCGCGTACTCCTGGTTATGGCTGCGGCAGCAGCAGTAATCCCACAGCTGTCACAACCTGCCAGTCTGAACCAGCAACCCCAATAATAGCAGCTCCAGCTCAGCGCCTGCACGACATTGCAGCGCTGGAAGTCCTGATGAAGAAGGAGACAACCAATCCAGTATTTCGAAGAAGACAAAACCGAAGTTCCTCTTGAGGAGGAACAGCAGATATGGCTGCCAAGTGAAGGAAGGCAGCGCCCAGACCCAACAAAACAGTCCTGTGGAAGCTCTAGTGCAGAGCTGCTAAGTTGCAGCAGTGCAATCTCCAACTTCGTGCTCCAGCCCCAGCTATGGCTGGCTTTGAGGAAGAAGATGTCCTCGCCCAAAATAACGTAGCAACGCTTCGGCCACGAACGGGCAGAGTTCCCCAGCAAAAGTGTCGAGAAAAGACCCGGACTAATTTTTCCTCCCGCTTCTTCTACACTCCGCCTAGACCTACGACGGACCCTCCAGCAACAACCCAAGCCTCACCTGTATCTAGCCCCTAGACCTATGGCCAGGCAAAAGGAAAAGGCCGAATGGCCTAGGACTACCAAACAGAGACTACTTGTGGCAGACTCAGGGATCAAGTCCCATACAGCTCAACACTCACAGACAAAACACACAGATTACAGGTCACGGGATCAACTCCCGCAAGGCTCAAAACAGGCAAACAGCAAACAAACAGGCAACACAACAAACAAAGGTTGCAGGATCAAGTCCCGGCAACAATGACAGGGACAAAATTAGTGTACAGCCCGCTTATAGCACTGCAATTCATTGCACCTCCTCCCCTTTTCTCTTTTCCATTTCTCCTCCTCCTGTGGCTCCCCCTCCCCCTTCTTGTCCATCTTCCCTTCCTCTGTCTTCCCCCTCTTCCTCTTCACTTCCCCCTTCTTCTCCCCCTCCCCCTCCTCCTCCTCCTCCTCCTTCCCCTTCCACTTCTCCATTTTCTTATCCTCCTCCCCCTCCCCCTCCCC